TCCATTCCATAACAGAAACTAAAACCAGAGCCACATTAGCGTTTGCTGAGGTGAAATGAATTCCTTGGTTCTACGCAGACCTTGCCTATGTATGGATGACTAGAATCAAGAGGCTACCAATATCTTCTGAGATGTCTGAAGTTAGAGAGAATCCCAGCTAAATGAAAAATACTAGAAATCCTACACAATTGGCCACAGCAAGTCCAGAGCTGTAGAATCTTCAACTCTTCAGAACTCCCCTGTCTGAGCTGTGTCTGTAGGGCCAATCATAGGCACAAATTCACTCTATAGACGCTAGTCAAACATTGGAGTAGACAGCATAACAGCCCCCAAAGATGTCTACACATGAATCCCCACAACCTGTGAATATGTTACACTAATGGTAAAGGGAATTAAAGCTGTTAATCAGGTTAAGATGGGGAGATTTTTCAGATTATGTTTCTTAAAAACAGAAGAGTGTGGCAGGAGAGGAGAGAAAAATGAAATGTGAGAAAGACATTGAAAGTCGCCATTGCTGACTTTCAAGACAGAGGAAGGTAGAGAAGAAAGGCTTCTTGACAGAAGCCAAAAAATGCAGGTAGCCTCCAAAAACTGGAAAAGGGGGAAAAAAAAAAAAAACCCAAGTAAATTCTTCCCTAGAGCCTCTAGAAGGAACTGAACCCTGCCAACACCTGGATTTTTAGTCCAGTGAGACCTGTGTTGGACATCTAACCTAGAGAACTTTGTGTTTTTAAACTAAACCACTAAGTTTTTGATGATTTGTTCCTGCAGTAATAGGAAACTAATACAAGCACCTTCTAAGACCAGGCACTGACCCTGCCAACAGGGATGCAAAGATGCCCAGTGTTCCAGGGACACATAGTCCAGGAGGGAGAGAAAATTGTGCACACGCAGGTAAAGCAGCATGCTATGCACTAAAGTCCTGTAGCAAGCCCTGAAGGAGCCCTGAGGTGATGGTGCTCCCCTCTGCCTGGGAGAGCCAAGGAAGGCTTCCTGGAGGAGAGGAGACATTTCAACTTAACCTAGAAGCCTGATAGAAGGGGTCTGTACTGTTCTGGACTTACATGGTCTGAGGGCCTTTTATTTAGACATGAATGTTGAAGGAGGAAGCAATTTTTTATTCTCCAGGCTGGTCTAGACCCTTGACCCTCAAAGTATAGTCCAGGAGTCATGTAGGAGCTTGTTAGCAATGCAGAATCTCAGGCCCAGCCCAGCCCTACCAAATGAGAATCTTCATTCAACCAAGATCCCAGGGGATTCATATGTGCCTGACAGTTTAAGAATTGCTGCCCCAAATAACAATATTCTCATCCTCACCACAGTGTGGAAAGAAAAGAAACAGGGTTCCAGAAATTGCTCACGTATACAACCCTGACAGCATGGAGGTCCCCCAGAACATTCCTACTGCTATGTGACCTTGCTAAGAATGGTGCACTCCAGCTCTGGGTCATTTCTCAGCATCTACATAGACATCGCATACATGATCAGGCTGTACGTTTCCTATGGAAACATCTGGCAGGCTTTATTTCATAAACACTTGGTTACAAACATCACCCAGTTCTTCTACTTGCTTACTTTGTAAAAGATGGGGGTCTCACTCTGTTGCCCAGGCTGGAATGCAGTGGCATGAGCCTGGCTCGCTGCAGCTCTGACCTCCTGGGCTCTAGTGATCCTCTCACCTCAGGTCTTCAAACAGCTGGAACTACAGGTGCATGCCACCATACCTGGCTAATGTTTATACTTTTTTTAGAGATGGGGTTCTTGTTCTGTTACCCAGGCTGGTCTCGAACTTCTGGCCTCAAATGATCCTTCTGCCTCAGCCTCACCCATTTCTTTTTAAAAAACATGATTTCAGCTCTAGCATTCTGATGGTGCAAAATTTTTCTCTTGCTCAGTGACCTCAATCCCATAATAATTTACTCTAACAGCTAAATCTTCAAATTGCTGAATCTCAACTTACTTCTACCATCAGTAAAAAGAGGTCAGGGTGGCTCTGGCAAACCTAAGCCGTAGTCCTGGGAAATCCACAGACAGCACTTTACCTCTCACTGGCTTAGTGAGTCCATCCCTCCAGCCTCTTTGCTGTGCTTGAGGCACATCTCTGCTGGCTGTGGATTCTACACACTCAGAGCTGCATCATGTCCGTGGGCACCCTGGGGACACTTGCTGCAGGGTTGACATTTTGTTATGTTCCCACAGCACAACCAGGGCCAGCTTCCTGCGGGCTGGATGCAGTGCACCTCCCCAGCCCCACACTCAGAAGGGACTGAGGTTTAGTGCTCTGCAGTGGCAATCTTAAAACCCTTAATGATTGTATCTTTGAATTAATGCTTTGTAAGTCAAGTCATGTGCCAAAGACTTGGAGCCTCAGCTCCCACCGTTGCACCTGCTGCCTCCCTAGCAAGGGTTCCTCAACATCCCCTCCCCTGTGCTGCCAAGTGACCATTGCCCCCTTTTCCTGTCCCCCTCACTGAGTGTTGGAGTCAGACACGCACCCCCTGCATGCCCAGGGCATCAGGATGAGGTCCTGGGCACCTATAAGTGTCTGCACTCACCCAACACCTGTGCTTATCCCCAAAGGAGTGTGACATTCAATACCAAATTTTAAAAAATGACAGACATACAGAAGAGACAGAAACAGAGAGAGAGAGAGAGAGAGAGAGAGAGAGAGAGAGAGAGAGAGAGA